CCCCACTCCGCGGTTCCTGCTGAAGTCCTGAGAAACAACACACTCGGTGCAAATTAATGCGAGCCGTACTCATCTCCAAACAACGGTTCGGCGCATTTAGGGGAACCGCCCTGTGTGTGTAGTAATACCGTGGCAAGAGTGTTCCGGTCTAATCCTTCTTTCGGTCAGTTATAGCTCGATACTGATGGATGTGCCCGCGGCTACGTCGCGAAGGGAGATGGATCGTTCTTGGCGCGATAGAAATGCGAGGATCGATACACCGGCGATTCTTGTATCGGCTCGAGAATAAGTAGCTCGTTGACCTCTCGAGCACGTTCGGAAATTAGAGCCAACCGTGCCATCCTCTCATACGCGATTTATCCGCGTCGTAATGGCACGCCACTTAAAACAATCGAGAGACGGCTTCTCCAAATGCCTGCGTGTCAGCGAGTGGATACTCCGGGTATCGAACGCTCGTCCCCTTACGGTACATGTAATCTTAATTCCCGGTAAACGTGTTTGTATCGTTAAGAGGATCCTTCTTAATTGGTTCCCGCTAATTACACGCAGCCATTTTATATTTTAAAGATCAAATCGAAAAACGCATTTTTTCTGCGATGCTTAATGAAGTAATAATAATTATTAAACCATATTTTTAACCAGCTGACAAAACTTGACTTTAATAGATTTTAGTTCTCTTTTATTTATTTATATACTCTGAGAAAAAAATAGCCAAGAAATAAAAATATTTTTGTATGAGTAATAACATATTTACCTATATTAATAATAAAATATTCAAATGAGAAGATATAGTATATATGTGTATGTGTGTGTGTGTGTGTGTGTGTATACTATATCTTCTCATTTGAATATTTTATTATTAATATAGGTAAATATGTTATTATCATAAAAAAATATTTTTATTTTCTGGCTATATATATATATATATATATATATATATATATATATATATATATAAAATATTATATATATATAATATTTTCTACAACCTTAGTCTTTCATGAAAAGCTAAGATAATGACGTCAGAAGAGCGAGTATGCCTAAAATATGTACAGAATGTGTCGAAATAAAAGATCATGTCCATAAGATGACACTTGTAATCGATTAAGCACATTTGTAAAATATTCTGGAAACTCTCTAAAGATCAACGAAAGGAAAGTTCTCGGAGTTTTTACAAATGTGCTCAATCGATTCCAAGGATCACTTTATGGACGTATTTTTTTATTTTGCAAGGATTTTGAGCATGCGTTTTCTCACTTCTGACGTCATCAATCGAGAGTTCCGGGACCAAGAGTCCTGGTTAGCTCTTTGTTCTGATACACTTCCTATCTCAATTTTTTGTGTCGGGTTGCCAACTTAGTAAAAATTAATTGTTTCGTCTATTTCGCACGCTCAGTTTGTCTGTAGTGCCTACGAAACCGAATCACGCTAATATTTGTAGATTCGAAATCTTTCGGTCGTACAATAAAAGCACGCCGAGTGGCTTCGACGGTGGAAAGCTTTTATTCGCGTCGGGCGTATACCCGGTCGAGTCGTTCCGCGCGTGGCTGGGGATCGACATTTTCCGGTGGCCGGGGAAAAATCTGGCGCGACCTTATGAAGAGGAAGCGCGCGCGCGAGCTTTTACATTCCGCCGCGAATCTTCGGCAGCCGTACACTGCGCTGGTCCCAACCAACCCCTTGCCGCTACTCCCACCGTCGTTCCGAGCAGCGCTTCCAAAGGAGCGAGCTAATATCTGACGCTACTGGCTTTTATTTTTGTCTATCAGCTTCGCCAAGTAACATTAGCGCTTCCTCGTCCGCCTCATGCTCCTCGAACTCGAGAGCTCGTCCGCAAAAACACCGACCGGCTGGAGCGAGGCCGTGTGAATTCTCGGAGCATACCGTCTATGCGAATTAAACGAAAAAGAAGCGGGTATATCGTGAATGGCGCATATGGGGTGAAGTAACAATAGGGGAAGTGCTGCGAAGTAAAGGGCGAGAAAGAGGGGGTTGCCTTCTTCGCCTTTTCACAATACGACGTATCGATGTGACGTGACGCGCGAGAAAATGCGAATGATATGCGCACGAGAACGGCATGAAGTATTCGTGTAAATAGGTAAAAACATATAAGAAAGAAAGAGAAAGAAGCGCAAGACACAAAAGGGAACACGAGACTATTCGCATACGAAACTCCGATGTAAGTTGAAGCGTCGCTTAGGCGAAATCGAGTTCTTGCGCATTTTTTTTCGGCGCGTGATACATGGAAAAAATATTGTAGTAAAAATTACATTAAAATTATATTTCTTTCTATAATGATTTTTGATAAAGATCGATTATATTGAAATTGTACAAATCATTATAGAAATAGTAAATTTGACGATCTACTTGACATATAATGTAACCAAATTTAAGTAAGTGCTTTTGTATAGTAAAAGTAGCAATTTTGTAATAAAAAGTCAAACATATAATATTTTTAAGCAAATATAAAATAACCTTGATCATAGTTCTGTATGATTCAAGAAAGAGATTGCAAAAATTCTGTCGTAATTCTTACTACAATATTTTTACCAATAATAGATACAAATAATTGTATCTATTATGGACTACAATAAGCCGTTCATGGTGAATCAAAAGTCAGAGAGCGAGTTGTGAGCGAGTTATTATGTATCATAAGATAGTAACAAGTTAATAATCAGTGACTATACATGAAGATGACCAAATTTCATTTTTTACGATTTAAAAGTTATGATTATCTTATAACTGACCGATCAGAAAGCGATATATGTCCGCCATCTTTATCAAGAGAACTAACCAGAATTGACTGAAAACTGTTCGCCCTCCGATTAGCTGAAATATAATGACGCAACGACCTAATACGACCTATTGTGAATGCAAGTTTCCTGAGATTAATAACTTATAATTCTAACTTACCATCAATGTGAGATATGAGTAATGACTGACGGCTTATTGTAGACAGCCCATTAGATTGAAATTATTGCACCCAACATCTAATGACAGCTCTTACTAGCCAATCTCTCTTGCTAGTAGTTTAGGTCCTTCAAATCCCTTGCAAAATCTTCGTTTCTCCCGCAATAAGTTTTCGGTTCGGACGCTCGCTTTCACGCATGATTTCCTCTTTCTCTTTCGTGCAATCGGACCGAGCGCGGTCGCTTCTTGAGACAGCCGTCGATTGTCTTAGGCACGCCACAATAGTTTTCAATGTCGCTTGTATGAATATCGCGGTCAATGGATGCATTCAACGGAGACTACAATCGCGAGTAGCACTTGAGCGGCAATGGGGTCCGCTTCGCAGAATATCTCAGAGTACATACCAATCGCATTCAATCGCTACTCAACTGTTGTCTCCACTGAATACGCCCAGTGTAAACACGAAATGAGATTTGGCCGTTCACTAGTGTACGCGCAACGGTAATATTAACCGGCGCCTTTAATTCGCTATCTCGATCGAATACGATCTGCGATCAAATACGCGCTACTTAATCATCACTTCGTACCACTACATGGAAAATGGAGCCGACGTATTAAAACCACTGCACAAAGAATCTCTCTCATGCTTTGCCCGAGTCATACCTCTCTTCAATTGCCGAAGCCTCCTCATCTTCGCACTCTTCGAAATTCCCCCCGCAAAAAATACTCGTTCCGCATAATTATTGGGGGAGACTGGTGATTTTTCCAACGTGGTTAATCTACACACATCGCACGTATTTATCTTTCTTGTTTTTTATTTCCCCGACGCGAGAATACTGGGTGGATTCAGCCGATTTATATCGCAGGAGTCACCGGATAATCGACTACTCGCTGTAACGTCAAGTACATTAATTAAACGATGATATTTCATACGCCGAGCGATTAAACGCGATATCCTCGTATCGCCGCAAATATAGCCGAGCGTGAGGACGCGGTGGCATCGGCGGACAGATAAAATCGCTCTTCATCGCGCAGAATTTTCAAATGAAATCCCGACGCGCGCCCAGGCTCCAGCGTCGGTGAAACGCGGCGGTGTAAATAAACAGTCCCTCCGCGCAGGAGAGAGCGTCCTCTTGCTTTTCCCGAGCCGGATCGACGACCGGTGTCTGGTCGCGTCGCCACACCGGCACCGCCGGCTCCACACGACACAGGAACTAATATCCGCGAAGGAGTCTTTATTTTTCTTTATTAGCCGCTCGCTGTGCAACAATGCCGTACCGCGGGTGAGCACCGCCGGTGTCAATGGTCTGGCTTTTCGCAAGCTCGCAAAGTCGGGCCTGCAAGCCGAGCAAGGCGGGCCAAGCGGACGGAGCGAGCCACATCTGCGGATTCCCGCAGAATATCGCTGTCGTCTACGCGAACAAAGGAAAACAGGAGATAGCGGGCTCGGTATGAGGAGCGACTCGACCGAGGGAGTACAAGGATGTCGGGAAAGCGGGGAAGAAGGAAGAGAATAAGAAGGAGAGAAGGAAAGAAGAGAGAAAGATAGAAGTTCGAAGAAGGGGTGTCAGAGAGAAAGAGAGAGGATACATCGCCTCGAGCGTCTCTTCGTACTAGTCTCTTACATCCCCCGACCCTTACCTCTTCGTAGCCGCCTTGCTCTCTCGGCAACCCTCTTGCCCATCGCGTCCCTCGGCAATCCTAGAGCTCTCCTCTAAATAACCATGTATGACGCTATC